CTACTGAATTGAAAAGGAAAATTATTCGAAAGAATTACCAGAGCATATTGTGCGTTGTAAGTTAGAAATTGGTTTTATATCCCTTTTTAAGCTCCTTTCACTGTTGTTAAATTAGTTTAAATAAAAGCATATAATCCCGTTCTATTTGGATATGAGAAATAGCTATCTCCAATAACCACAAAACATTGCTGTCAATGTATACCAGGGCTTGAGATGTAATCATGCCTAAAATAAATAATCATTATTTACAGAAAATATTGTAATTTTGTACTTATTATTACGCGCCATTTATCATGTTAACTATATATATATATATATATATATATGTGTGTATATATATATATATATGTGTGTGTGTGTGTGTGTGTGTGTGTGTGTGTGTGTGTAACAAGAGGTCATATATATATATATATGACCTCTTGTTACACACTTCAGTTAGTCAGAGTGATTGAATAAACCCTTGAAAAAATATAACAGACGTGTGCACCATTGCTCAGCTAAACTAGCATTCGAATTAAATCTTATAGGACGAGTTCATGATATCGGTTCTTGTTACTAATACACATGAATCCCAACATAACATCTTGGACTTTTGCGTTCTACACACTTTGCTATCTATACTATAAACTTAAAAACGACGATTGTACTGACAGTTTGAAGAAATTCCTCTCGTTAACTAATTATTTTGACAGTGTAGTTGACTGTGTGATTTGATAAAAGTGTCAACATTTTCCATGTTTTATGGCTACTAAGGAACTTCACTTGAGTATATTATCATCATAAATCAAGGATTTCACATTCGTGAAATCCGAATTGGCTGATGACTTTCCCGGAATGTCAGAAACCGAAAATAAATAGTTCAGCTTGTTTCTTGATCTTCTAACAACTGACTATTGGGGTGAAAGTTGCCAAAATTAAAGCACAAAAGACATCCCCCCACCCACCCTACCGCTCACGATCAAAAAGTCACGAAAAGTATCCTTTAAATTCTCCATCCAAATTGACAGTATTAAGAAGGTTTAATACTAGAAGTTTGTCATATCATTGATTTAAAGTATTTTGAAATGTTTTCATCTTTTCGTCGCTTTTTTAATAGCTCTTAAATCAAATGAGAACTTCAGCTAGATATTACTCTAACTGAAAAAAACTCTATTATGGGGAAACGACACTTACTCTAAACAGAAAAATGAACAAACATTCTTCACCGTGCAAAATTATATCAAGCTCAGTAAACCTTTTTACCTAATGTTTTTGGTCCTTTAGTTCTTATTACCAAACTGCACATCATGTATGCCACTACTTAAGTTAGAAATTACATTTTGTAATTCTGTCCACCACATGTGCGTAAGTTTATAGATATTATTATGTGTAAATATTACTTTTTCGTCCAATGTCGATGTTAGGTGTTCCATTTCCGATTTATATTTTTCTTTGTATGTACATGGGAAAGGAATTAATATAAGCTTTAAGCTTGTTTTCCCATCCCATAAGATTAAATGTACCTGTCTGTATTTAAATGATAATTATTGAATAAAATATTGTTTAAACTAAATGAGAACTGAGAACTAGACATTTTCACATTTTTTTTAAATATCCACGTACACATATCATACCCTTACCTTGTAATGATAGACGAAAGTTTGTTCTAAAAAGATTGCCTCGACAATAACAGAAAATGTCTGTTATTCAGGGGGAAAATAAGAATATTCTGTGAAATTAATTATTTCCTGTTACACACATACCGATGTCTGTAGCGGAAGAAGCAGTGAGACAACATATTGATTTCTTACTTTCCAAAATCAAACCTTTCAAAAGATCATCATCAGAAAAAAAAATATTGGTTCCACTGCTCAGATGAGAACATCCTTATGTATCCTCAGTATTATAGATCTGTTGATCGTAGAATATGTGCACGTGCTTGCATGATGAGTCATAACTACGTCATTACTGTGGTATATTATACATCAATACTTCAACACATATCATTCTACATTGTGATTTCATGATAGATTTTGGTGTCATTTAATCATTAAGCTAGATATGAATTATTGAGCGAACCTGCATAATCCATCAGATTTTTAGTAAGCCAATACCGTACAAGGAAATATATTAGATTATAAAATTTCTAATGATGATATTGAATATTTCAGAGAAGCAAGTTGAAGATTTTTGTATCACACACTCAAACAATACGTACCACTTTAATATAATTGATCCTTTCATATTTTTGAAGTGTAAAGTAACTTTGTGTATTCATATTGTTCTGGTTTACATGACGACTGTATGTTAAATGTGTCATTTTATTTATTCTCTTAGGAGGTAAAATGAATTCTAGTGTGATGGAAAGTTCACTAAATTGTCGGAGAACATTTTGAGATGATGCATAATAAAGATATTATTTGTCACTAAAAATGCCACAGTAATCGTTAGTAAAAACGCCCGTAAAAGTCTACATGTAAATTTTAAATTAAAATGACAGAAAGCATTTGATCCATGTCGGAGGAGAAAGATTACCTTACAGCATGACGTAATACATGTAAGTAATACTTGTGGGACACACCCTGCAGGTCAACTAGTTATGGGACACAGGCTGCAGGTCGACTAGTTGTGCACACTTAAACTCTCGCAGATCGCAGATGATATTTCATTCACCTTAGATCTCGGTAAACATTCAATAATGCTCAAAGTGCGATACACTGTTGTGGAGAAATAAATTATATTAAAAAATGACAAAATAAATGTAACCATGTATCGAATGTAAGACATAAAGATGGAAATTGAAACGGGAAAAAAAGACAAAGTGTTACTCTGTTAGGAATATCATTTTCTGTGAATCGTGAGTTAATGATAAATCTGAATTATGAAAAATCTCGTACGTTATTTTATTAACAAAGGTTCAGTGGTAAAAAAGAATTCCTACACTTATTGATAGAACTCTGGTGTTTTAAAATCGATTATTATACCCACATTTAACAAGCTATTTATCTCAATCCCAAACCCAGATTCATGTATGTACATTTATATGTTGAACAGAAAATTCTTCTGTGTTGTCTAGCAAGCACTAATGAATTATAAGGATGGTGGGTTTAAAATGATCTTCATAAATTTGAGGATAGTCTCAAATTAATTTCGATTCGAAAGAAAATGAGGTCGTGGGGGAAAAAAGCGGTCAATTTTTATAAGTTCATTGTGAAATAAAAAAAAAAACCACACAGATATGGGAACAAGCGATATAAACAGCCAAAAAATATAGAAAAAGATATTGGGAAAAAATATTTGGTGTACGGATGGAGAGGAAAAATCATAGTAACAATACTTTATTGTATAAGTGCCTATCTCAATTTTTAAGTTTATCTAATCTATAAAAAATATATCAGGTCATGTATCTTATGGAGGAATGGATCAATCAGTAAGGACTGAAAAATTGAAAACGATACAGACTATATTAAAAGTAAACTCTTTACACTGAGCTATATCAACACAGTACATGTACACCTACGTAAGTAAGGAATACAGTAGTATACGTGTATATTAAGTGCTTACCAAAATAAAAATTTAGTATTTGAAAAAGAAGAAGAAGAAATAATAATAATAATAGTAATAATAATAATAAAAAAAACCGGCAGAACTAAAATAACTTTCAAATCCAGATATTGATGTAACGGATTGAAAATCGAATTACAAAGTTCTTGAGCAAATTTCTAAATACACGTTACAAAACATTGTTTTGTCTTTAAATACCAATATGTATCTATAAATGATGTTAAGAGACAGCAGAAATCATTATCCATTGACAGCAGTAAAAAACGTGGATTCAAAAGATTGAAAGAAAAAAGATAGATGTGAATTACCGTCAGTTCTTTTTTTTTTTTTTTTTTTTTGCGAAAACCGACTTTCAGTCAAGGTTTCCAATACATGTTTTGATAAAATACACAGAATTTCGCATATACTCCTTAAATATTTTACCTCTAAAAAATTCATAAAATGTGTTTTTATATGACCGATATAAAAATATTGTTACATAGTTTTAATCATGAACGCACTCTGGCATTCAAAAACATATATATATATTGAGAAATTCAACACACTATGGGAAGGTTGGCAAAACTTATTTATTTGTTTGACAATCGCTGATCACATCTGTACTTTGGCATGTCATCATAAACTCTCTGTTACATTACACATATAACCTTTGATGCTACTGAAATATCGCCCTTCTATAAGTTGTACCGTGATTATTACCTGGTTTGTTATCTGTAGCTACACTATGTATTAAATGTTTACAAAGATAGCATGCTACCTCTAGATTATCTCCCTTACTTTTGTTTTTAAACACTAAAAATATCACAATATAAAATCAGATATGTTTTGAAATAATGTATCCATAGTATGAAGTATATTCATCACATTTACATCTTGGAAGTCACATATAAACACTACACACGTATATATTAGGAACATCTTGTAAACTTATAACTTCAAACATATTTATACAAATATACAATTAATCAATTTTCCCTTTCCTGCATAAAAATATACTGATTACACAGCGTGACGAGACATATACATTTCCGGTACATATATTTTTTTCTCTTTTTCACTAGATATAATAAAAATATATAGCAGTGTATAGTTTGTGTGTGTGTTTGTTTGTTAGTTTCCATTATTGGTTTTCTTTCTCCTTTTATGTGATAATGTATATATATTTATTAGTGTATCAGGTGTCATGTGTGGGAATTATATGTTGTTAAATATATTATACAAAAACAAATGCATTAAATCAAGCAAAAAAGTTGTTGAATTGGCATTATGTTTGAAAATATAAAAAAAAATATATAAAAAAATCTACCAACATAGTCGTTCACCGATGATGCAAATCGTTTTGGGGAATGCACCATGCAACAGCCGACACTCGATCGTCACAGCAATGCTGTGTGGATACAGCATATGAATCGAAGTACACGTTTACAGTGCGTGCTCCTTATGGTAAAACCACAATGGCGACTGCTGATGTTTGGGATGCAAACCACTTGTACGTGGATACGTAGTTTGCTGGACGCTGTCGAGGGTAGGTACTAATACAACGACTTCTATGTACACCTCTATATCAAGCGTTAGCTTACACCTGTCTACACAGCAGTTGACTGGTGTGTTAACGCCTTACACGCACCTGCTGTCGAACATGTACTACGGTCCATCATCACGCCCGCCTAACGGTTATGTTGGTACAAAGGAAATTTGCGTGGTATATTTAGTATGCTCTCATGTTGATTGTTCGGTGATGGGCCAAAAAGACATATCTGTACTATGCATATTTGCACTCTTTTGCGTATACCGTTACATACTGTTTTATATCCATAAAAAATCCCTAGCTATTCTAAAAACATCCGGGAATCTGAGCAGGATTTCCCACACGGTCGAGAATTGTGTACGGCTGAAATACGTCACCGTTGCTACAGCAACATAGCTACACCATAAAAATAATTGTTTTTTTTGTTTGAAACTGTAGTGCCGCTTGGACACATGTCACTTAAATGATATAACAATGCCATTTGTATGGCTAGTTAATGAGGGATTAAATTTCATTTTCTGACTAAGGACATGAGTGTAGTTAATTTAATTATATCATCGTACGATTGTACATCATGAGTATTGATATGTATTAATTACTATATCAGATTATAATGACTACATGTACAAGTGTGCTATGAGGTATGCAATATTATTGGTGGATACGAGTAGATAAGTATTGCATTTTGGTGGATCTGGTGGGTTTAGAAATTAGAGTTGTGTTTTGCTGGATGCGATAGGATTAGAATTGTGTTTTGGTGGACGCTGCGGGATCAGCGTCGTTTCTTTTTGTGTGTGTGAATTAGTGTTTTTTGATGACTCCTTTAGATTTTAGTGGATGCGGTGAGAATAGTGTGTCGTGGCGATGAGATTAATGCTATTTTTAGTAGACGTAGCAGAATTGGTATTGTTTTTCGGTAGATGTTGGGATTAACTCGAGGAGGTAAAAGGAGAAATTTTCTGTACCTGTCTTAAAATGGCGTTGATTAGTAAAGCAACAACTCCTTGCCGATGTGATCGATACTAATCCGATAAATCCATAAGTATAATGGAGAATATTTCACGTCTTTCTAAAATAAGGATAAAAACTTGTATCATATGGGCACCAGCTTAAGGTTGTTTGGTTAAAGAGTTGAACGTCCACTTCAATCGATGTTATCAGTACTCAGCAGGCATGAGGGGGTGTCCCGTGTTATCCCCACCTCTGACGAGACATGACTCTGTCCCTCCGGTACGTCACCAGAGTCTGGCCAGATCGCTGGAACGGACTGTCGCCCATAATAAATAGAGGCTTCCTCCGGTTATGTCGAAGTAGCCTCCATAGGTCCGATATCATCGATACATCACCAACGTGTAAGTACTAAAAGCAGTAGGCAGGTTACCTGAAATGGCGCTTCGGAATTTTTGTTTACTGTAAATCACTACGTGTGCCCGGATTGAAATGTTGTTAAACATCACATTTCCTCCTGTGATATTTATGTTGGGTGATGTAATTACCAACAAGTTCTCGTTCACATTGTTTATTTTCATTATCAAGGAAATCGTCTATTGTAAACAATATACATTGTATACCCATTAGCGTTAAAAATGCTCCTCATGATTATAATACATTTTGCATCTGTGTCAATTACTGCGAATCAAACTAACTTATTTATCAAAAGAGCACAAATCCCAAAACGTAATATATAAACATGGAACAGCATCTTCGATTACTATCGCTCTCTGCACACTTGGAACATTTTATGGCAAAATTGAAAGTTCCATGTGCGACATTTTGAGGATAAGGCGAGCAGACTAGTTTGATTCCAACGAATCTCGGAGTCGCATAACGGTATGCTGTAATGGCTTTGAAGCTGGATGTTGCTTCCGTCTGTGATTAAACAGTTTTCCCTTCTGAAACCCACTCTAGACCAGTCAAATTACCTCGTTTGTGCATCCAGGATTGCCATGAACTATTACAGGGGTGCAGAGAACGTAAGTGATCTTTACCTTTGGAGTATCGTGGAAAATATAACTCGTGATACACAACAAAAAGAGCGGACAAAGAAAATGTTTAAAGACCATTCTATATTGTACACGACAGTGACATATTCTGACCTGTATCACCTGTATTTCAACATAAATAACTCTACACTGTACACGACAGTGACATATTCTGATCTGTACCACCTGTATTTCAACATAAATAATTCTACACTGTACACGACAGTGACATATTCTGACCTGTATCACCTGTATTTCAACATAAATAACTCTACACTGTACACGACAGTGACATATTCTGACCTGTACCATCAGTATTTCAACATAAATAATTCTACACTGTACACGACCGTGACATATTCTGACCTGTCCCACCTGTATTTCAACATAAATAATTCTACACTGTACACGACAGTGACATATTCTTACTGTACCACCTGTATTTCAATATAAATAATTCTACACTGTACTCGGAAGTGACATATTCTGACCTGTTACACCTGTATTTCAACATAATTAATTCTACACTGTACACGACAGTGAAAATATTCTGACCTGTATCACCTGTATTTCAACATAAATAACTCTACACTGTACACGACAGTGACATATTCTGACCTGTATTTCAACATAGATAACTCTACACTGTATACGACAGTGACATATTCTGACCTGTATCACCTGTATTTCAACATAAATAATTCGACACTGTACACGACAGTGACATATTCTGATCTGTCCCACCTGTATTTCAACATAAATAATTCTACACTGTACACGACAGTGACATATTCTTACTGTACCACCTGTATTTCAATATAAATAATTCTACACTGTACACGACAGTGACATATTCTGATCTGTATCACCTGTATTTCAACATAAATAATTCTACACTGTACACGACAGTGACATATTCTGACCTGTACCACCTGTATTTCAACATAAATAATTCTACACTGTACACGACAGTGACATATTCTGACCTGTATCACCTGTATTTCAACATAAATAATTCTACACTGTACACGACAGTGACATATTCTTACTGTACCACCTGTATTTCAATATAAATAATTCTACACTGTACACGACAGTGACATATTCTGATCTGTATCACCTGTATTTCAACATAAATAATTCGACACTGTACACGACAGTGACATATTCTGATCTGTCCCACCTGTATTTCAACATAAATAATTCTACACTGTACACGACAGTGACATATTCTGATCTGTATCACCTGTATTTCAACATAAATAATTCTACACTGTACACGACAGTGACATATTCTGACCTGTATCACCTGTATTTCAACATGAATAATTCTACACTGTACACGACAGTGACATATTCTGACCTGTCCCACCTGTATTTCAGCATATATAATTCTACACTGTACACGACAGTGACATATTCTGACCTGTACCATCAGTATTTCAACATAAATAATTCTACACTGTACACGACAGTGACATATTCTGACCTGTACCATCAGTATTTCAACATATATAATTCTACACTGTACTCGGCAGTGACATATTCTGACCTGTACCATCAGTATTTCAACATATATAATTCTACACTGTACTCGGCAGTGACATATTCTGACCTGTACCATCAGTATTTCAACATATATAATTCTACACTGTACTCGGCAGTGACATATTCTGAACTGTATTCCAATATTGATAAATTTACACTCTTCTCAGCAGTTACAGATTCTGACCTTTCCCACCTGTATTTACAGAATCCATTTTGCAAGGTAAACGACAGTGGTACATGGTGGTATTACCCACCAGCTAATATATACCATGCTCATGGCAAAGGTAGGGATTGAATGTTGTCGCTTTCTCTGATTTACACATCATTATATAAATGTATTGTGCTGAAATATTAGTGGATAGTTAGAATACAACTAGTCTTTTACTATCCGAACATAACTATGTTCGCTTGTTAATTTCATTTACACTTGCCTATCACAAGTACTGCATCGATTCTGATGTTGGCAAAGGATAGGGTTTTACATACTTTAAACTGTGAACACGTCTAATTGACTTGACCGTGTACACCTAATATTCTGTATGGTGCATACAGGATATGTAACCAAATTTTGTATCTCCTATTTCCGGTACACATGTCCTAATTGCATTTGTTTTCCTGTCTATCTCAATTTTGTGATTTGTGGGTTTTTTGTATGCATTCATTACTGGAGCTGCTACACACCTACATGTACAGTACATTTGTATTAAGGATACATTGCAGAACTACAGCGTGTATGTATTGATGCTGGCCATACGTATCACTACACGTAAACAGTCTGTTTTCTTGGCAGGTTGTCTTGATACGGGATTTAAATAGCATTATAATGAAGAGAAGGCAAACTGATGTTCATTGGGAGCCTGCTGCTATCTACTCAGTGGTTCATTTATATCTTGAATATCAATTTAAATGTAGGTTATATAATGACACAGCGTATGTATTGTCATTAAAACAAGATACACCAACCAGTAGTATTTTTTATTTTACATCTTTAATCTGCCCGTGGATCATAGGATCATAAAGTTCAGGACAGTGTTTTGGACTTACATTTCCAGTGTCTGTTCCAACCTGATACGATGACGTAACACGGCAGTCCTTCAAAGATAACGTTGTATCCCTTCGTACTCGAGAGAGACTTATCATCATCCATGTGTAATGATAACCAGCGTTATTACAGACTACAGAATCAATTACAATGGGAACTGTTAATATTTCTTAATATAGATGGCCGTCATTTTGCCTATGGTTTCATTGTTATAACTACATATTTGGATTGACAAATATTTACATGGCGAATGTCGTCAATGAAGCAGTAGACGTTAACTCTTCAGGATCACATGAGCTTCTTCTTGTACTTTCCTAAAATGTATACATCTTTTTTCACTGGTTTTCTCGACGGGTTTCCCACAAATGGCATCTAAAGACCATGCAAGGTGATATGCAGTTATATGTTAAGACGTTAACAGGGTCTAACACTCTCTGTCACACATACAATGTACCCTATTTCAGTTTAAAGGTCAGTGATACTTTCTGGTTTTCACGGTTCTATCACTGAACTTAGACATGGACCGCTGCTTTCCCACATTCGCTACATTCGTTTCCAGAAAAAAACACTGGCCGTAACAAGTAGTAGTGTTTCAGACAAAAACATGGATTGACCGTTCCTCATGTCGTTTAATCGTCCGGGCATTTAGGACGGATATGAAGTGACCATATCCACATCTGTCCTTTTAGCACACATACCATCACTCAGTGTCCTGGGCATAGCTGTAAAGCGACTCCTACATACCACAGCTGCAATGAATAACTATTTTATTGATTTCTGCGCCTTTAGCAGAATCCTGGTACCAGAATATTAAAGTCTGCTACGTATGAGTCTTGGTCGTCTCCCCTTGTCTTAGAAGTGTCAATTAATCAATGGTACCAATGCACCGACTATAGCAAGAACATGGGCACGTGTATCTGTAGTATACAAACGTTTAAAATCTATACATGGATATGTCTAACGTACGCACATGCTCGTATACCTAAGCACACTACAAAACTTGGATGCCAATCGGAACACCCGTTTGTGTGGCTTTTTTATTATGAAACTATACATATGTTTCTTTAAATATATTTGAAAATTGAAATATAATAAGATTTTCATATATATATATATATATACGTTAGAATTCATCCTAAATTTAATGAAGCATTAATTAATTGACACTATTCCTTGTTTCACTGAAAGAGCATTTCCCCATGGCAGATTAAGTGAAATGTGTGTAAATCATTGGTTTGTTTTGGTATTGACCACGCCCACTCGGGATTTTCTCGACAATTTGATTTATCTTAATGAATAGGTGACCAACACGTCCCATGACACTGCCCCAAACATTTTTGGAAGCGCGTGTTTAAGATTCTCCAATCAAATGACAACCTAACGCAAACGTAAACCATTCGACGTTCGTGTTAAATCTACTACGCAGTTTGATATGTCGTCGTCAGAGACACAGTGTGTATGTGATTTCTGCAGGGAAATCAGGTATTTTTGGACTAATTTGGATTCAACACAGATTTATTTGACCTGTAAGTATGTCTTGGATCATTAGTCATCGGCTTTGTCTATCTCAGGTTTGACAAAACCAGATGCATATGCTTATATAGACAGTTATATTCCATTGCACTGTCCGTATGTATTTTGTATCTAACTAAATGATTGATAGTCTCGAGTTCATTTTAGTTGCAGTGAACGATTGATTTTATCTTCCACATATTGTTTAGTGATACGGTTGTTGGGACACTATCGGGTAACAGTGTAAAGTCAATAAAATATTGTGAATGGTTTATACTTCTGGCATTGGTGGTATTACAAGTAACGATGTGAAAATATTAACCGTTTTCTGTTTCCTGTCTGTATGCTTTTTAGCGTTATAAGTACCCTACAATAACAGGTAAGCAGCTTATTTTCGGGTGTTACACACAAGAGAAACAAATGTACATTCACAGAGAGAGACATATGGTACATTGACAAGGAGAGACATAAGGTACATTGACAAAGAGAGACATAAGGTAAATTGACAAGGAGAGACATAAGGTACACTGACAAGGAGAGACATAAGGTACATTGACAAGGAGAGACATAAGGTACATTGACAGGGAGAGACATAATGTACACTGACAAGGAGAGACATAAGGTACATTGACAAGGAGAGACATAAGGTACATTGACAAAGAGAGACATAAGGTACATTGACAGGAAGAGACATAATGTACATTGACAAGAAGAGACATAAGGTACATTGACAAGTAGAAACATAAGGTACATTCACAAAGAGAGACATGGTACATTCACAAAGAGAGACATAAGGTACATAGACAAAGAGAGACATGGTACATTCACAAAGAGAGACATTGTACATTCACAAAGAGAAATATATGGTACATTCACAAAGAGAGATGTACACATTATACATAATCTGGCTAGATAGATATAGGTGACATGAAATTATCTCATATGTACATTGACAAAGAGAGGCATACACATAATACATAATATGGCTAGATAGAAATAGGTGACATTAAATGACCTGATATGTACATTGACAAAGAGAGGCATAATACATAATCTGGCTAGATAGAAATAGGTGACATTAAATTATCTCATATGTACATTGACAAAGAGAGATATACACATAATACATAATCTGGCTAGATAGAAATAAGTGACATTAAATGACCTGATATGTACATTGACAAAGAGAGATATACACATAATACACAATCTGGCTAGATAGAAATAGACGGCCTCTTATATCTAGATAGAAATGCTTGAAGGAGCTATTTATTTTGAACAATACATTAATTATACACTGTAATACTTTCTGATATTCAATTTAATTTAACTCTACTAGTATTATCTTAACTATCTAAGAATAGCGTTCTACACATCAGTGGGTGGTTCTAAAATAAACATATGAGTGATAAAGATTCATGCACGTTTAGGTAAAAGATTAAGGAAAACATATCTGAATTAATGAGAAATTCGTTGTCAGGTGGACATGTCTGGTTTTCTCGTCCAGATGTTTGCTGATATGGTAAAGTAAATACAGAATGCCTTAGTACCACTCTGAAGAACACGTATTTGATTGTTTGGAACGCCTTTGTAAAAATGTTAATCGATGTAATATCAATATACATTCGTCAGAGTGTGAATAGAATACATATTTCTGTTGTTTTGTCGCTGAAGTCCAATAAACTAGACATGCAGCATGCTCTGTAACTGTTAATCATATTAAATTACAAAGTGGCCTACCGAACACTTCTCACTATACCTCAGCCATTATTGGCAGACACCACAAGAGCAGATAAATGAAAAGGAAAGTAAGTAAACAAAAAATATACAAAAATGAAAATAATAATTAGCAACCAAAAAAACCTAAACAAACAAAACAGAAACAAAAACAAATTCTGTATTGGTATGGTTTTTTGAAACAGTACGATATTACTATCCAAAATCATGGTTTATTTTGCTTAGTAATTATGTTATCATTGCTGAGATAATCTTTAGCCATTTTTAGGTATATCCGGTTCTCAAATGTTTTAAAGTCATATGTGCAGGATCTAACATAATATTCAAGATTAAAGAATTAAAACGCATATATGTTTCTGAGAGGAAAAATTGCACGTTGTATGTTAAGCTTTTTATTAAACGAAAATTTGAATAAATTGATTGACTTTCAGATAACATTTGCTACGTAATCAAAATTTTACACACGGGTAATTCACAAGAGTATGGCCTCACTTCGTTATCTTTTTATGAGAGTACCAAAACAATATAGCATCCATATATTCAATCCCTGAATAGAATGGTCGGTTATGTGATAAAACCTTTTTTCATTAATTGAAACGGCAATGAGCCGATTTCTGTTTTAATTTGAAGGTATCATTATGTTTCTGACCAAAGCTGGATTGGCATATATAGCGACTTATCCGTTATAAATTGTAAATCTGAAACACATTTTTTTTTTACTTTCAGATGGTCGTTTGACCTGACTGAAATCCTAAAGGCCGTGTCAAGGTCATGTCCCAGAGAGCAAAGCGGAAGACTGCCATGATGACTGCTGAGGTTGTGCCCGGTCCATCCACGACCGCGCTCGAACGCACTGTTAAGGAAGCTGTTAATATAGAAATTTCTCCGGAAAAGAAAGCCAAAGTTTCCTCTGAAGAGTCGAGCTCTTCTGGCGAAGAAAAGAGTCCAGAGGAAATTCAGCTTTATATGGAGGAAACATTTGACATTCGGAGAACATTTATAACCATGGAGATGCCCACAGTGGCAACGTTAAAAGAGACTTACCCTCAATTATTTCAGGGTAGGCAAATGTTAGCTGAGTTCCAACGAGTGACCAATATAGACATAGACCACACCATACAGGAATACTGTGTCAAGTATGCTAACACAATTATAGATATCGCCAAGCACGTGTCAGGATCTAACCCAATTCTCCGCCAGGCGGAGACCATCAAACAACAGAATGCAGCATTAAAGCAGTACTGGGACATGGTGACAGCGCTGTGTCTGGTGCCGCTTCTCCTGAAGGAGAACCTTGTAGAAATGGTGCGTGAGATTGGGGAAGAGGACACTGTGGATCCTAAAGGGAAAATCGTCCCTATTCTTGTGTCCAAAGGTCCCTTGTTTCACAGTGATGAATTTGTTCTAGTCGTTGAGGAAGAGATCGTTCAAGAGTTTGAAGAATTTACCATAGCTTTTGCTACACTGTTTGCGTCATATTGGGTTTTCAACATGCAGTATCCAAAGACACTCCATAACACATATAATTTCATGCAAAAATCTGTCCTTCAATTGAGGGATGGTTCTCCCCTCCCACCTCCGTGTAAACAGTTGGTCCAGCGCCTGCAGAAAGCTGGTGTCTCAGGACAACACAAAGGAAAAAACGCAAGATAGGCGTCAACGAAACATATCATACCATGCATTCACAAAACCTTTTAATATGTAGTACCCCGCAATCATAGGTAATGATATGACTGTACAAAGCCAAACAGTAACAGGTAACCATAGGCAACACCACAATCTCTTTGAGCGCCATAGGAAATACTGTGTAACCATAGACCACACAACGACCTCACAGATCCAAAACATGCAATGCAGTCAAAGGCAATACCCTGACCTTGCCAAAGTCCAACCACAGCAACACAACCATTTTAGACCACGAAACTTTAATCATCATTCCATGACCTCATGGAAACAGTGATGATACCACTTTACCAGGTCTTATCGCCAACTTACATTATCTTGGGCTACTGTTAGTTTAACACAGGCTAAATCTTGCCCATAACTACGAGTTACGGGTACATAATTTCACTACATCAAAACAAATTGACTTTGTGCCACGCAACGATCATATTTTATGCATAACCAAAGGACATACCAAAATATATCACAGACACTATTGTCACACTAAGTTACGTTGTTAGTCCAAGCATCCTCACACAGTCCCAAGTCACAATACTATGTTGATAGACACTAATGCTCTGAACTTCCAGTCATGACACCACTGCCTTTACAGAACATTAAATCATACCGCGTGTTTCGCTTGTATACCTGAGACAAGGACCAAACATTATGATAACATGCATCGTACTAGGTATAAGACGCTAGCTATAGGTTGACCAATGTTGTAATTCACCTGCATATGTGTCTATATGATCCGTGTCATAATTAATTGGGTTAATTATCGCGTTATTGGTATCTCACACTATCTTAATAAGCACACTTGTGTTGATGGGGTCGTGGTTAAATTTATACTTGGACAATTTTTATAGCATCAAATGAATAACTTTGTTTACCTGTCTCAGAATTATAAAATTTATCGGTAGGAAGTCGGGTATCCTCTTACAACTCCATGTCTCGATATACTAATCATAATTGTCTTTAAAGACTAATTGTATCCTTATCTAGGTATACTCGTCCTCTGGTCATTGCACGTAAAGGGACAGGGATTTAGTTATTGTTTTGAAAAAAGTCTGTTGTTGCTGACCTAATGTTTTGATAAATTTCAACACATAAGATTTGTATAATGTATTTTCTTACTTCGAAAAAACTTGCATTTGATCTCCCATGAGCATTGTTGAGTTAATAATCTGTGCAGTCGAGTGAATGGTGTATATTTCACGTGTTAGGAGCAATAATATCACCTGTCCTCGCGCATTGTGTTGATTTTGATGATATATGTTTGTCTGGTAGGTGTGGCATAGATACTGTATCCAAATTTTGATTTTGATCATAATGCTTAAGAACTTCACTTTTATTATCTGATCCTCCGGTTTTGGTTGTCAATGGGTTTTAAATTGTAAAATTAAATGTTGTCATTGGTTAAATATTTACACTCTACTGTGAAATTGCACAATTGATTAAATGCAAGAGTGGTACATTCATAATATGTGAATAAAAGGAGAAAACTGGGGAAAGTTTAAATAATGGATCAAATATTGAAGAAGTTTTTAGCAGATCAATCAAACGAGAGGGTGCTGATATTACATGGGGAAGTGTTAACAGAAAAGGGTGATTAACATGGGAACAAAGGACTTAACAATGCAGATAGAGTAAAAAATAAGGTGGGAAAATAGGCGCAGGGTAGGGGTTAGAATACGAGTTGTGAGGAAGTTTAAGAATAAGAAGAGTGATAAACAATGGAAGGGAAAAGTGAAAGGACAGGGCAATGGTGAAGATGAAACAAAGAAAATTGAACAAGTGAGGGAGTATTGTATACATTAAACAATACAAATTAAACAATGGGGCAATGAAGGAATGGATAGTACACAAGGGATGAGACAATGTTAAACTTTAAAGAATAAAATGAGAAACAGGGAGGGTAAAGTGGTAAACATTAAACAATAGAAAGTGAACAAGGGAGGGGGCAATGATAAACATGAAGCAATACAAAGTGAACAAGGGAGGGGGCAAGGGTAAACATGAAACAATAGAAAGTGAACAAGTGAGGATTTAATGATAAACATTGAAGAATACAGAGAGAAAAAGGGGTGGGACATTGGTAAACTTTAAAGAAAATACGAGAACAGGCAAGGGGTCAATGGTAAACATGAAACAACACAAAGGGAACAAGTCTGGGGGCTATGTTTAACATGCAACATTAAAAAGGCAACAAGAAAGGAGACAAAATAACAAAGATACATTGGAAGGTGAACAAGGGAGGGGCAATAGTAATCAATGAATAACATGAATGGTATTTAAGGAGTGGGCATTGATAAACAATACACAATAAACAAGGGAGAAGAAATAGTGAACGAGATAGGGAAAAGATATACATGGGGAAAACAAGGAAAGGTGGTAGTGAACAGGGGGGCATGGAACCTGGTTTTATTAACTTTCGGGATTCTAACAGTTAAAAAACCTAGAGCTCAGTGTCATAGAAACTTGAGATATTGAAAATAAATACAAATGGATTATTTGTCTTTCACGCAGCAACAAATTATAGGTAATATACACAACTTGAGAATAAGTAAGGAGTTAAGCCAGTGAAAACAAAGACAAATTGATTTTTTGTCTTTCACACAAATTGTAGATGACACATGTTGAGTAAGGAGTTAATAAATATAAAGCAATAAAGCGAAGGGGCTAATAAAACAATGGGAACATTGGTTTCTGCAGCTAAGAAAATGTTAGCAAGAAGGGAAGATAAAACCATGAAAACAAAGATTTGAGTGGAAGAGGATTTTGAACAAAGGAGACTGGATGAACAACAGTAAAATGACTTGGTTCTAGTTTTTGTTGAATTGTTTTCAATTTTGTCTTATTTTTCTTGAATTATTTGAATTTGAAAATATGCAGTAACAACTTCAGGTTGATCTGATTGTACAATGACTCTTTTTGTCACTTTATTACTGACTTGTAAAGATTTTACTCTTTTTCATCATATTAATTATGATTAATATTTCATATACAGGAAATGTATATATTTGTTTTACTTATGTTGTATGGTTTTGTTTTACATACATGTTTTAAATATAATTTCTCTAAGTTATTGTACTTTCATTGAAATGAACTTTTAAAGTTTGAATTTCATTTTTGTGATTTTATGACGAGCAGGTTCTTTTATATTGCAGATGCCAAAGTTCACTGAACCGGCATCATGTAATGTTTGATAATATTCCGGTCGTGTTAATGTTTGTTGTAGTGTGTCATAAAGGATGCACAAAATAGTGCAGAGGAAGAAATGTGTTGTAAAACCTTTACATGTCATATTTTCAGGTCGTCAAAAAACTTATAAAACTTTTCATTTTATTTTTGAAATTGAGTTCAATAGGTTAGTATCAGCAATTTCCACCCGATTTTATGCGTGCTACTGAGCCATTCATTGGCAATGGTGATAGCCATTGTAAGATTGAATTGACTTTAGAATTGATGTAGAGGCTTTAGAAAGCATGACTCCATCGAGAATTTCACATAAAATAAATACATAGTTTGATACTGTAATTCATACTGGAGACATTTTTGGTCAATCTATTGTCAGTGTTTTCATCGGAGGCTTTCAGTAGACCCCAAAATACAACCAGGTAGATGTGTTAGATATCATTATCTTTTACAAAGTACATCGGAATTAATCATGGTATTATTACATAACTGGGCATATATACGCCATACTTTTCACTAACAGTATATCGACTTTATGTTCTACTGTCCTTTCTATCATGCCCGCATCCAGAAGTTTTTATTTATTATAACGTTGTGGTATTCCGCCAGCGACCATTATGACGTCATATATACAAACCAGGCGACGAAGATAATACACATTTTAGAAATTGAATTTTCTTTATAACATTAGTCATGCTAACGGAAACGAATGTTGTTTTTCATATTTAAATCGAATTCTGATGAACGTTCTTACAATGTCTTTATTGGCTTATATAGATGAAAAATTTGTTGCCAAGCATTCCATATTAGCTGGTAATATGATGTTTACCAGTGAAGCTATGTGATTTATTTCGACTGTAAAAGAAAACTTCTAGACGGTCAATACACCAAAATACACCTTTATGACATGTAGAAATTTAGCATGAAAGAAAAATCATGTCAGATGTTGTGAATATGTACAATGGGTGTACTGATGAGTGGAGTATCAGTGTAATATAACAAGCAGTGGTCATTTTATGAACACGAGTAACAAGTACCACTCAGTTACAAATATTCTGAATTCCTTGCGTCTTGTCACTTGTGTTGTATCACTTGTACATTGAATGGTATATTTTGTAAGTATCGTACTGTTCCATAATTGGACCTCAGTTCAAGTGTAGCAAACCGATCACTGATCATTTTGATTGTGCCAAAATACAATGGTGACAACAAATTTGCGACAAAACAAAATCCATGTCACTTGGATGTACTGATGCACTAACAATGTTCTGATGCAATATTGTAAAGATAGAGCTTTCATCGGTAGTTCAATTCACTTTTTTTGCTCGAAATATATTTTACGTTGTTGTCAATTTTGCGAGCGCCAAGAACATTACAGTGAGTATTATAATCATGATATCATTCGTGGAAATATGAATCGCCAGCAATAAGTTTGCTTTGAATTGTTTTCTACCTTTGATAAAGTGTATAACTGTGGAAAATGTACACATTCTACCATCGCAAGATTGTCGCCTTGTGATATTGGAAATCATCGACACCTACATTTACACAGCTGGTATATAAACATCAATTTCATTAACACCATTTACCAAACAGAATGTGAAGTGTGTTGCTATACAATACTTGTAAATAATGGAGTGTTTCTTTAGATATTTTTACTATTGTAGATGCAAGTTAGCTTAGTTTCATCATACATTGTAAATGTCTTTCTGATGATAAAGGTGACGGTTGAAGTGGATGTTTTACCAAACTTAGTAGATAGGAAGTGTGGGTATGCTTAACTTCATGTCTTGAATGGTTGATCTCAACATTTAGTATACAGTGAATAAGAAGCTTTATGGTTTAGTGTTGAATTAGTGTTTTGATTGTCAAGCATAAATATTGGCTTCTTCAAAGATATATACTGGATATTTAATTACACTTTTTAGGAGTTCCAGTTACCGTATTCAAAAACATCTTTTTCAGGCATAATTTGAGTTTTCGAGAAAAAAGTTGAGTGATTTATATAATTTTTTGAAAATTTATCCAAATTATTTGCATAGAAAACGTGTTCATATGGTAAAAAATGTTTTTCAATTCGTTATCACTAGTAAACTCTCCCAACAATCAAAACAAGTTGTCGGTAGATAATCAAAATAAGTTGTCGGTAGATTTATTTCCTCTCATACTCGGTAGCAAATTATACACAAGAACAATTTCTACTGTCTGTTAGCTGTATAGTTACCTATATGTTTAGATAAAGTGTACACAAGAATAGCTCTACTGTCTGTTAGCTGTATGTGTTTAGATACGATCTACCTTCGCCGCTCAGTATTATTATCGCTAGGTTCGTTTCCTTCCACTCTTAATTCTAAATAAGGACTTATTAAATATTGTTTTCTCATCTGAGTTAGCAGTTATAGTTACCAATAGGTTCTTGTATGTTTTAACTTATCCCGCCAGTAGACTTGTCAGTCGAACTATTTCCACTCCACTATTATTACCATGGACCTTGTCGGTAGATTCGATACCTCCCAACCTCTCTTCAGTAAGGCCTTTTCTCCCAGTCAGTAGTGTTACAGATCATAGAAAGTTGTCATTAGTTACCTATTGTTCTCGCCCTACTTACAGAATTGTAAGTAGATTCGCTTTACCAGTGTTAGTGATCCCCAAATACTATCCTCCCCAATACTGGTGCATTCTTCCTCTCTGTCATTACTTGTAGATTCTACAACTACTGATTTACAAATACAAAATAAAGGAAAGACTTCAGTGTTTTCTAACGCCAAAAAATAAATCTTCACCAGAATTCCAAAGATCAAGAAAATCAAATAAGGCACTGCTAGGGTTTCCTCTACAGTATTGTTATGTAAATGACTGGTGTATATGTGTGGTTTATTATGCTATATTGTTAATGCTTGTTATTATTGTTAGACGTGTATTTGGCTGATGCTTTTTACATTATTGTTGGTGCTACCAAATGGCATGTCATGTATAAACAACAAGTCCCTGTGTATATGTTGCAGTATTAGAAGTTTACAGTTCCAACATTTGTTGTATGTTATTTGTGTTGTACATTTGCTTATGGTATATATCACATATCTACAATGTACATTAAAAATGGTGTACTGCCAAACGAGTGTTGTGTTGTTACTTACACCCAAAATTACATCGGACTCTTAATAACACGTTTTCTTTTGTTCCAATCACAGCAATTGTTTGTCTCAAGTTATTGTAGCGTTGTAACCCAAACTAAAGATAAATTGTTATATTATGTACCAGTTTCTATGTGAAATGATATGACCTGACCTGTGCAATGCCACACTCATAAAATCATACCGGTAATTATGGCGAATTTATTATCGCCTAAACGACAGGTTTATTGAGAGTAACAGTCATTACTGTTGACATTATATATACATGTAGATGAATTCTGGAATGTAGTTTCGTCAATGTGTAAGGTTATTAAAGTTAATTACAAATTTCTCGTTATAATCTGTCATGACAATAATGTCGAACATATTTTCATAGTTAATTGGTAGTTAAAATAAACCGTTCGACTAACCACCACAATTGGATTCATCGATACGATTTTGATATTTAGATTAGGAAATAATAAGTCATATCTAGTAGTTATTACTTGGCACCATAAAACTACAATATAATAAAGGTGTTGCTAGACTACTCCGGTTCACTAAAGCGGTGTTACATTTATGACAATTTTGTCGTTAAAATAATTTACGATGTATTAAAAAACACTTAAAAAACAGCATAGTACAACCCCTAAATTGACAAAATATTCTATACATCATGTCGTTAAATATCGTTAATACTTTTAAGAGTTATACTAAAACTTTTCATGTTAACAAAAACTCAAATATAGCAAATGTTACAAGTGACGGCTAGTCACGTATACAAAAGAATTTAAAAGATTACACAAGATTCGGACCTAAAACAGATGATGGATTACAGATCTATGTAAAACTGCAATACACCCAGTCTGATCGACTGATCTGTTGCAGACTGTCAGGTATGCCGGTCTTGCTCGACAAGTGAACTCAATTAGGATATCTAGAGGGACTGACGCAAATTGAAAATCAATATTAAATAAGTTACAGTAAAACAGGGCTATTTCATCTATCCTCGCAATCACTACCAATCTACATCATCAATTTGCTATATTCTTATTTTTAAAAGCTGAATATTGCATACTCAAACTCTGCCACATTAAGTTCCATTTATTATGTTAATGCCAACTAGAATCATTTTAACATGTCTAATGTGGTCTTACGTTTGGCATGTAATCTAGTCGCCAGACTAGAAGGTAAGATGAATACCATTATTAGGGCTGCGGAAGCTGGGTAGCTGTTAAGGTAACCCCTTTATGAAGAATGATACTGTAAGACCAGGTTGGCAGTATAGCCAAGTTAAACCCTACGGGGTATTACGTTACCTTGTTCCAGTTTCACGAATCTACCTTTAAGAAATCTACCATAAAGAAGCATTATGTTAGATAAAGGTAAAAACTTCAGTTAAGGTAATTTATGTAATACTTTCAGATGGGCAGTTTTAAGTTAAGGGAATTAATGTAATACTTTCATATGGGCAATTTTAAGTTAAGGAAAATTCTTCAAGATGAGGAAAATTCATGTTCGCCACATTATGGGAGCCACACTTACATAAGGAAATTGAGGCCAGACTAGTAATCAAGGTAAGTTAAATATCTATACAGGCACTAAGTGGCTACTTAGTAGATCATTTAGAAATAAGAACTTCACAAGTAACAAGGCTAGAAGTCATACTTCCCTTGTTCTAAGAACTAGACAACATAAGCATAATATGAGTGAGAACATTATTCTACTATTACTAGTATAAACATTCTTTACAAAGAAAGAACAAATTCAATTATCAATTGTGAACATTTTATTGATAATATATAAAAACAATATATAATTTTGCATGATTCTTGATAGTGATCATGTGTAATAAATTTTACATTGTACTTCTCTTCATAAAAGTAAAAGGCGTCATTTTACAGTATGTTACTATCATAACAATGTGACTGATGTTTAATGCTTAAGACACAACCTAGTATCTGTAAGATAACACAAAATACCAAAATTTTGATGTAAACACTGTCATGCTAGTTATCCTGAAATGATTAAAAAGTTTATCACTCAGCGTTATAAAACTTATGCTACAGAAAGAATATGACTAGGAATAAAGTTATAGCAAATGATACCAGTATGTCCTTCACAGAATGTACTTATCTATCATACAAGATGATGTTAAACTGAAAGTGGACGAATTAAAACTAAATTTAATACAAAATTTTCTTTATTAAAACTTTCTATGTCCAAGGTGACTCCTGTTATTGAACAATTGACAAACAAAAGATATCCCCAGTAACATAATTGTTAAAGTACTTAGGGATGCCTCTGTTCACATTTGTAACAACAGAATCACACTAATTAGGTGTTTTTCTATCAATACATGTAGATCAGTACTTGTCAGTTGGCCTCCTCGTCAGACGATTCCTCCTGTCCTATTTGTTGAATTTTCTGTGGCAGATACAAATATGATTCTTATCATGTTGTCAAGGAAATTCAAATGCATATTTTATGAAGCGGAGTTTTTATGCTTGAAAATAGATAGGGGTAGGTCTTCTACTCTTGAACTCACCATAATATAGAAATAGACAAATATGGGCCGAGATATCTTTTGGAACTGTACAGAGAATGCAATTTACAGGTGGATTGAAGAGTAAACTAAAGTCTTAGTATCTTCATACTTTAACAATCATTTTGACCATGCTTGTTCTGAAATATCCTTCAGCAAACAACTCCAGTGGTGGTTGAGAGCCAACATTGCTAATTTGAAGGTAAAGTTATACTCAAATAGACCCATACACTTGTGCTAAAAAGATTAGCCCTTACTTCTAGGTCAGTAAGTGATGTCATGTGAGGTCACATCCTCAACCTAAAAAGCATTCATTTCGCTACGGAATGAATACAATCCAAAAGGTCCAAGGCCCTTAACAATCATCTAAATCCCAATGCAGTGGTTATACTTGTAATGTGTAAAAGAAATGATCTTGTTAAAAAAGATAAGATAACTTCAACCACGTTGTACATGTAATGCAAAGGTAAACCATTCATTACAGTAACTGCAATCGACCAATAATTTGATTTGAAATATATTGTGTTTAAAAATGGAATTATCATGTAAAAACTATAGTAAACTGTACTCCTCTCCACGGCAAAAGATCAGATCCTGGGGTCATGCAATTCACAAATTAAAGTGAGATAAAGGGGTCATGTAAGAACATGAAAACAGTTTTGAAAGAAATACCTCAAGATCCACCCTTCCATCCATTAAGAGCATTTGATTCTATCATATCTGGGTGATGAGAAGAAGATTTTGTTTTGGAATTTTAGTAAATTTTATCTCTTTTTGGTCCCACCACTCAGACTCCTTGGGAGTTGAGACCTTATGATTTACAATCATACATCACCTTTGCCCATGGACGATTTCTACAAAATCTTATTGAATCAATAAGGAGTTTTCCAGAAGAAGTTGAAAATGATAGGAATTTATGACACATGACTTGGGACAAAAGGCAACCTAAAACCAGTGACCTAAATATCATACTACAAGAATTGCCCATTAATTTTGGTCTTGACTCAGGTAAAAACAGGGAAACCTTCAATTGATATCCCATGGGTTACCACTGTCCCTGGGGGAGTTAGACTAGGTATACAAATGTGGGGATCTTTTCTTAAAAGTATCCCTGGTGGGTAGTGTAGGAATATTAAGAACTGATTTAATTTCGCCACAATGGTGCAGCTAGTTACAAGGAAAGAAATAGAAAGTAAACCACATGACCATTTCTTTGAACTTGTTATAAGTGTACAACAAACCTTTCAAGAATCTTGTTTCTAGAGATTTGATGTGAATGCGTTTTAGCATACCTAAACACAGTATCTTATTTTTGCTGAACACTCATGATATGAAATGCTTTGTGATAAAACTATATATACCTACCAGATTAAGTAGGTCCATGAGTTTGTAGGGATCCTCCCCACTGGTAAGGTCCTTAATGTCCTCAGGGATACCAAAACAAGAATAAGGATGAGGCTGCACACCCTCTGGATGTTCCACAAACCTAAATACAGGTTCCTGATAAAGAAAAATCAGTTCAATACCGTATTTTCCAGGATATAAACCACACTGGTATGTAAGCTGCAGTGCCAATTTTTGACAATTTTTTTATTTTATCCAAATTGAGATTATAAAGAAATTCATTATACTTACTATATTTTTTTATGTCTTTTTACTTTCAGGATCTTCAAGGTTAATTTTAAAATAATAAGTAATTTGAGTGAATAGTTATCATCAGTTGTAACATATTTAGCTAGTTATTTATTACTAATATTCATTGTCGAGGTAAAAATCACAAGTAATTTTTCATTGATAATTTCACAACTGCATCTCATTTATCAAGAGGCCCTTAGGACCTGTATTAATCACATGGCTTTGTTTGGATGAAATTGCTTCATCAAAAACTAAAGAAAAATTCTTAATTTTCAAGAACACAACACACACTATATCTTTTTCCCCATTGGGCACCACCCCTCCATCCTTAGGGGATCAGCCAAACATTTCAAGCTTATCAGAGATACAGAAAACCAAGTGTGATTGTATCAGAGATCTAGATAACAAAGTCAAACTTGTTAAAAGATCCTGATAATTAAATCTGACTGTATCAGAGATCAAGATAATCAAGTCTGAGTGTATAAAAACAGTTACAATAGTATTTGTTGTCTTAGTACCTGATCGTTGTCTGGTGTATCCAAGGGATGAGCTGCGTTGGCGGTATCTTGTGATTGGTTGTTTCCCTGTTGTCCTTCCTTTTTGTCTCCCTTCAAACACTCAAGCTCTTTCCACGTAAACAACAAGCCGTCAGTCACAGCACCAAAAGGGTTGAAGTCTATCAAGAGTAGCTTCCCCTGATGAAATAGATCAGTACATTCAGACTAGTGCGGGCATTGATGAGATAGTGCCAATTCATCCCTGGTAGACATGATAAATGTGTATAAGAAAAAGTCCTACATACACAAAATGATAAAAAGAACTGACATACAGACTACCTACCTCTTAATGGCAATCATTTCTTACTTCTTATTAAATGTTTCTCTAATTTGAAATCTAACACAACCTTAATCATCATGCTGACTGATGTTCAAAGAGAATTCTCATAAAGTTTATCTTGAGTATATAATTTCAACTACCCCAGCTGATTTTACAAGTTTAAAATTAAAACTTTGATTTGAAAAAAAATTAAATCAAAACATTAAAAAAAATCATGCACTTTACCAAAACTAAACACTGCCTGATCATTTTCAAGTTCAGCCTCTGAAACTCACCTTGTCTCTCCTGTACACATCAAATACATCTGGAAGTTAAAACAACAAATTCAGTCGCTGTAGATTAAATTGAACTTTATTATCATAGTTGAACTTGTCAAATATTTAAGGAAAATTGACAATTAACAAACTTGCAATCTTAATTTGTTTTTCTTTAAAAACATCACAATAATTGATAAGTTGAAAATCAAACATTTGATGTTATCTTTTCCAGTATTTGGAGACAGAAAATTATTATACACCAAAAAATCATTAATAGAATTTTAAAATCTTATTCTTTCTATGTCTTTCTTTGATATCTGACCAACACAAACATAACTTACAGTTTTTACTAGGAAACTTGCCAGCCACCATATGGTAGAAGAAGGCCTTGATATCCGACACTATTTCATCCTTCATCTTGGATATAAATTCATAATGTTCTGTGTGGTTTCGCTGACAGATTGCTAGTAACAGACAATTTTTACTTAATGGTTTGTTTGTTTGCTTGATTTATCAATCTGTGAACAGACAGGTTCATTCTGAGGTGGTTATATTACTGACGACATATGGGAGGCCCATCGGATGCAATTCCAGAGCAATAAGGGTTAAGTATGTTGCCTAACGACATAACCAAATAAACAGACAAATCTGTGTCTTAACTTCCTGAGAAACACAAACTGTCAAAGGTAGAGAGTGTCAAATCAAGAATCTCAAATCTTCACTGACTGAGCTATTGCTGTCTTTTCTTTAGTGAAATGAAACTTCACTGATTTTCAATTTTTTCTTCATTATCAATAAATTCCTGTTTTTTGAAGATATTCATTTAAAATTCAAGTATGTTTATATATTTATTTCATTACAAGAATGAAATATATGGTTCTCACCTATTAAGTTTCCATTTCGTACAAAACAACGAAATTCCATTCCTGAAGCTAGACTCTGCCACTTTCTTAGAATAAGTTCGTAGCTGACTGTGACATTGTTACTGTTCTCACAATCCTTACAATGTGAAAACCTGTAAATACAATACAATGCTGTATTACTACTTTTATAACAAAATTACGGCAGATTTACCATATAAATAAAGTTTCACTTCAACTGTTCATCCTCTCATCAACCTGATTTGAGTAAAAACTTTTGCAAGCAAACTGTTGAACCACTGTTAATGGAGTCACAACATTAACTTTCAAAAGTTTGTTTTTATGTATTCATTTGCTATGTGAACAGTCAAGGTTATAGTATCTGGTGGTTACCTCAATGTATAACACAAATGAAGCCATGCAGAGCAGTTGGGGTGAAGAGTACTGAAATTAAAGGACATCACAATCACAGCTCAGACCAGTCCATTTTCCCATCTTCCTGAGGAACATATAAACTGCCACAGGTAGGAAGTATAGAACTGCACACCTCGGATCTTCACCATGTGTGGACCAATGGTTTAATGACATAGCTATTACAGTCCCATACTTTCAAATGTCACATTAGTAAAATGCAACAACCCAATTATGGAAGTACCACTCAAATCTAAACAAATCTTTCATCTAATCAGATATAAACATTTGTTTGATATACAAGTGTCTTTTACTTACTACCATTGTTGAATGATGCCAGATAAATGTTTTTATGATAACTAATCATCGTCTATACATCTTTACCCTAGATTGGCGTCAGAGAAATTTTTCACCTTTGTATGACGCAGACACTTATTTTAACATGCGGGTGAGATTTTTTTAATCAATAATGAGGCTGTGCAGAGGAAATTTATTCTTTTTCTTCCGGACTTTCCTCAGTGTATAGAAATGATGACAGGAACCTTCCGTGTGTGGTGACATTTTCAGAGTAAGGAAAACAAAGTAAAATTGTAAGCTGTCTTTCAGTAAGTATGTAACGCCAAAGTTATCTTCCCCAACACAAATGAATCAGTGGCATAAAGGAAAAACTTTCAACATATATATGCAACAGGATGAGAGGGAAACGGCAGTCAAATTCTTCCCTCTAACTTGGTAGCTAAGGCACAAAAACATGTAGGTGTATAAGAATAATGAAATTATCAACATTTTTTAGCTTTACATTTTCATGTTCAATTCTGACAGGAAAAAAAATTTGAGATCTAACTTACGGTTGTGTCAAATCATGCGTGATGAACTCTGAACTCTTCAAAAGGAGGTAAACATCACTAGGACAGGTACACCTTAATGTCTTATCAAAGGAAATCCATGTGGCATCCTGGTAACAATCAACACAAATCATAAAATGTCACCAACCAACATGTCTCATAATGAAGTGAAACACAGTTATATCATTGATAAAAATAAAAAAGGATTTTCCTTGTACATAGAGGCAAATAATTACGGGAGATGTGATTATATTCAGTATCAGAAATTTAGTTCAACAAAACAAAAAATAATGCATAGTAGTTGCTTTAAGGAGCAGATCTCAGATCTATCAACCGAGACATTTGTGTGACTATTTCCATCTAGAAATGTGCATCTATCTATTTATAAACATCTAGCAAAACATTCATTTCAGTTTTTGTAATCACCATTATGCTCAGTCAAGAATGTTTTGGAGTCTGTTTAAGCAAATCTGCTAGCCCAGCATCAGAAGAATACTAATAATTATCACTGGTATTTTATAACTTTACACATCCTTAGTGAAAAAGTGTACCCTTTTCTGTCATGAATGACTCTGATCTCCGCTACTCACAAATAGACCCATCAAGTTTCCTCTAATTTTGGATTATTTTAGTGCTCTGTACACTCAGTGGGTCAAATATGGTACCTACAATCAGTTTACACCCGCATTTAAACAGTGTATATGTTCAAATTCCAAAAATTTCAACTATAGACTACATACATAATAACAATCATTAAACAATTCATTACCAAATATTAATGTCCAAATAATGTTCAAATGCATTTAAATAAACAATATTAATCGTCAATTCAATATATAAATCAAACAAAACAACCTTACCCTTGGGGCACTCCAGTTTAATTTTGGGAAAGCAGAACCTCCCAAATTCTTGATAATTTTTTTTGTTAAACTCTCAAATTCAGGAAAACTGGGCATCTGAAAAATGTGACAATAAATACACTGCAATACCTATATATTCCATTAATAATCATAGAAAGAGATCAATTTATTGTTTAAAAAAAAATTGTTTACCACTGTCCTTCAAAAGCACATGTCCCTTGTAATCATTTTTGCTGGGAAAGTCAACATGTACACTACTATTTATAGTCTTGAAAAAATAGTTGTTTAATTCACTGCTCTTCCATATCTTCCCCAAACCTCCCCCACCCAACCCTCCACAACTTTTTTAAAACCCAAATTGTGTCTTTGACAAAAGTTTCATTTCCTTATTTGTAACAAAAAACTGCAGTTAGAAGATCAGTACAGTAGTATATATTTCATCTGTCAGTTAAAGTATTACAAAGTGAATATATTGTTGTCGTCAGACATTTACACTTGAAAGAATTCATATTACTACTTACTTTTGTTTCGGAAATGTCAGCAGATTCCCAGTCAACATCAAGCTACAACCAAAACAAAAAACACTCAAACAAAATAAATCAGTACACAAATATCACAAAAAAAAAACACCACATATTATGTACAAAAAATAGCAAAAATTTCCATGTCTGATTTTGAATCAGCATTAATCCAGACAAAAAAAAACAAGCTTGTTTGTGGTCCTGGAAAGGTTCATGACAAAATAGGGAGTACCATAATTGAATAGACAGCTGTTTAGTTGTTTTAAGCAAACATATGTTTTAACTTTCTGAAATAAACTGCAACAGTCTGCCTGGGGAGAGACACAAATAGTTTATGTATAGCTACTGAGCAACCATTTAGTACACCATCTATCATATGGTAACACCACCATTTTTCTCCAATATACAATGTCTACTTTTGAAATGAAACTGTATGTGTAGGTGTTGGTAGTTATAAAGATATTCCTACATTTTTATTTGAGAGTGTAAACTAGTATAGTGTTCAAGTCATGTCCATATATAAACTGCAAAATTTTCATTTTTTTTAAATAACTTCAGCAATTTTATAAAGACTGGATTAGATATCCTATTCCGCTAACATGAGACTAATTGTTTTGTCAATGTCATGATGTAATGACCCAGTTTATTTTGAAAGTCAAGTCTGATTTTTTTCAGACTCATTTTTTTATTATCTTTATTATGAAGCAATGAAAATTTACTTATGAATGAAAACTTGGTATTTCTCTTGTATTGGAGCTTTGTTATGATCTAATCTACTAGTATTTAGTATTCTATGAAATGCCATAAATGGCAAGCATGGTCTGCGGCTGAACTGTTTGTGTGTGGAACATGTCACAGCAGTATAGACTGGTGAGTGTTGTAGTACACCTTTGCACAACACCTGTGGGATGAGCTTACATGAACCATTCCACTTACACAAAGTCGACTTGTCATCTATTGATCACAACAGTATCATTTTTTTGCCATAGACAAGGACTGCAATTCTGTAAAGTATATGCAGGTATAGAATATTTTTTGTTAGAATGGGACTTGATTTATATATAATTTAGAACTAGGTTTTTACCTCCTCTCCCTCAATATCATCTTCATCATGTTTTCCACCTGCTGCAACACATCTAAAATTAGAAAAGACATTTACATGAACAACTTTTATTCAGTATACCTAATGTCATCTTTTAGCACATTTTATTTTTTCAAAAGATAATTTGCATATTATCTTGAACCACACATCAAAAAATAACATAACATTGAATTAACGCATTATCATTCTTTTAGCTAATCTCATAAAGTAATCTATAAACAATAACAATCATTAATATAAGCTTATATAAGTTTCAAGAGAGTTTACTTAAGAAACTGTTTGAGATTGGACATGTGTATGATATTATGGAGCCAGAATGTAATATGTTACTGGCCATTCTTGCATGGAAACCTACTGTTCTGGAAGAACAATGCCGTCCGCTTGTAGATAGTCCAGGAACTCTTTGGGCAGAGGCAGGATGTAACTGATGAGAATACAATTCAGAAATAATTTTGTGCAGAGGAAAGAACATACAGAAAAATCTACACTTCACATATCATTGATCTTTCAAAGTGATCACACATATACAGATTTTCATAACTTTTGTTGTGCTAAAATTCATTGTTTGCGTTTTTTATGGAGTGATATTATCATGACTAGAGATGACACTCTATAAAGACAAAAGTTGATATGGTGACCAACATGTTTTACACACAATTCATTAACAATTATATGTGTACAGCATGTAACATCAAGAATTTTTGTCTTCCTAACTAAAGAAAGTCATATAAACTTTTGGAAAGAATAATTAAGTAAAGGAACTGAAATAGATTGATGTAAAGTTAACGCTCTCTGAATAAGAATCCCTCGTAGAGATGAGATGATTTTATCAGAAGACAGGGTTTATATACACATTAAAATTGGGGTTGTACTAGATAAAAAAAATACGCCTCTAAAATGAGAAGTTAATCTCAATATTAACATTTATAAGTTTGCTACGAATTTCATTAATTTGAGACCGAGATTTTCGTTCTAGGTGTATATGTCATGTATTACATGGAGAAGCAGCTCGATTTATAATAATAATAATAATAAATCCTCCACTCTCTATACAACGGTTCTCTCTCTGTTATGAAAATAAGGGTTTATAGTGTAGGATCACGCATTGGAACAAACCTCTTAATCGTTACGTCTTTGAACTTGGGATACCACGCTGAAAACGTACAGTTCAACACATCTTGTATGTCCATTTTAGGAGATTTGTTTAGAGACCAAACACTAATAATGTTAGACTTAAACCTTCACGTGGAAATAAGTCTAGAGAGATATGATTAAAATGCATCATTATATGTCAAAGTTAACCAAAAATTGAAGGTGACGAAAACTCCTCAGAGCATTGCAGCAGATTCCTTGTTGCATCAGCAAGTCCTAGATCTCGGAGTGAAGCATAACAAATACACATGCACACTAAAGAGTACCTCGGGAAGGGAGATAACTTAGCATTAATAGGAGTTGTCTCCCGTACAACGTTACATGTACTAATGTATCTCGTACGAATATCATGTAATGAGATTAAATAAAACTGTAGTGGTAAATTTAATTTAAGATGCGAACTTTTGGAAGTAATCAAGTTTCCTGTACAACTCTTGAATAACAAAGCTACAATATCAGGATTCAGCTTTTCTTGTTTGTGTTTTGTTTTCTTCTTCTTATTATTATAGAGAAATACCACCTAAGATTTACTGAGAGACCTACCGAGACACCTCTTGTCTTAGACTGTACAGCCTCATTATTACGTCTTTGTGGCTAGACGTTATATATGGTACATAATTAACAAAACAAACAAATCACAATTGCTTGTCATTGCTGATATTATAGGTACAATTTTTACACGGACTTAGATTTTTGTTATTAAATTGTATGTATTAGGTATATGTATAAATTTATCACTTTCGCTTCTACTGCTAGTCTCTGGTAATTTGTTATGCCCCGAGTAGCGATGTGATAGTCTAGTGTATAAATACATTATAGACCCCTTTTGTGATTTGTTTTCTCGAAATTAATAGTCTTATCAAGGTCTTAAATCTAGAAATATAGCGTGAAATCTCGGGCGATGAGACTGGAAATATTAGGAAGAAATTTCCCGTGACAAGAGTCATCCATCTATATCCTATGTCCGCGGTGTTATCATCAGTTAGTGCCACTATTATGTCTGTATGGTTAACAACTTGCCCTAATGCCAGTTTGTTATGGGCAACAACCGAGTATAATCAAGTCTGAAAATTCGAGAAAAGAAATTCTATTTCATATGAGGGTCTTGAAACTTAATCAAAATGTTATTTGTATACATTTTAAAAAGTGTTGTAGTGTTTTTTTTTTTAGCTCTACAACACTACTTAAAAATATATTCCGGATATATTTAAGACTTATATTTAAGTTTCGACCGTCGTATCATCAGGTATATTATTAGTATTATTTTCATTACAGAAAAAGATTATCAAGAAATGTTATTGGAATCGCTTATCATCATTTTAACTTGTACGTATGCTACAGCATATAACTTTTTAAATTTAGGTAAATATTCAGAATAAAATATATATATCATATATATATCAGCAGTGTTTTTGCCGGTTACCTCATGTTTATGATAACACCAGACATAACATTATCAGTTGTCATTTTCCAATCTCTCAAAATATGATTAATGTCCATTTCAGACATCTACCAACAAAACTACATAACTGTCCGCCGATCAATTTATTATAAAGCGCGTACAGTGTAGGTTATTTTCATATCACCACAGTAGATTTCGTTCTAATGTTGCATATTGCTAATGTAATGAGGTTTTAATGTTAAAGCTCAAAACACAGCCGGTTTTTCGAGTTGTCGCTCCTTTACCGCCTCCAGAACAACAATAATGGCGGATCAATCGAGTCAACTATTGTAATAGTATTTCATTGGAGCGCTAGAATACTCTTTAAGTGACAAAAAATTATATATCAGTCGGGAGTTAATTTTCGTATCGCTATGGAGAGTTATTGGACGATATAAGATTATAAAGGTAATGATATATATACCTTAAATATTACTATATATGATATTGATTCAATTGCGTTTTCATTTCAAATTTCACAATTCTTGCAACATTTACACTGTTTATTGTAAACATAACGATTTTTCCACGTAAGCTTGTTTTACTGCTTGTATAAGGAACATGTGACCGATAAGACAGCTTTGCAATAGCTGATGTACATACATTTATACAGTGTAACCTCTTTAAACCGCCATTTTTTGTCCAATAAGATTTTGGTGGTAGAACGAGTTTGGCGGTAGAGCGTGATTGGTGTTGAATGATTCCAAACGGTGAAAAGACGTAGAATCAACACTTGTTTACTGCACGTGGTACTTGATTTTGAAAAAAGCTACATCTATATACATGGCATGATACTTATTTCTGTATCTGGGCTTTTTATTTTTTATCGTCTGTTTTTAAATATCAAATCAATCTATAATTGAAAACAAATTGAGCATTATTGACAGAGGCGTATCAATAATGTATGTTTGTATACTTAAGCATACACTCGAATTCCAAAGTGATATTTTTTCTTACTTTTGGTTTTTACTTTACTTCTAAAATCGTGTTGCTTTGTTCAATAAATATACATATACATGTGTGTATATATTTAACATCAAACCATTATTTCTATTCCGTATAAAGAACATGTTTTGATACGGAATATTTAGTCCTTTAAACATATTCGATCCTGGTTATTGTTGTAAGTATTCTACCAGCTACACTTCCAAAATGGCACAGCGTTAAATTGCTGAACTTTTTAACGTTTACCGGGCACGTGGATGTGTCTCGGGATCACAAGACAATTGAGGAAGTAAACAAGAAGACCAGCCTTTCTAACACTTTGTCTAGTGACACATTTCAAGGAAAATCTCAGCTTTCCGAGTATAAACCTCCTTATTATGATATCAACGTCATTTCAGAAAATGAACTGAAGGATGACAATGTTTGTCGTTCTCTTTTGACGACAAAGTGGGATACTGCTGGTATAAACAGAACAGATATTTCTGATTAGCTAAAACAGGACAGCTTCACGGAGGGTTCGCCCTCTAGTCTCCTCACCGGGACTTCGCCTCTGGACCCTCTCTTGAAAGCATACGCTCTTTAAAAACATTTGCTACGCCACTGATTGACATAGTGTATTTTCTAAATCACTAAAAAAGTGATTTTATATTGTATATCTATTTGCAAAATGTATAGTAAATAAAAACAATAGCTTTAATTTGAATTACATTGCATTTTCTTATAATTGTGTCGTCAATGACAACCAAACAATATAATACACTTGGATGCACGTGAGTGAATAAAAAAAACAATTCCTAAATATTATTTGTTTCATTCCAGATCCGCGTGCGCGTATGTGGGAGGGGAATCCAAGCTATACGGTAGACATACATATGTCCTATTGATACAAAATTTATCACAACTGAAATGAAAATAGATGCAAACTATAAGTTTAAGATATGGAAAACTACCCGGTATTTAATGTGGAGATAACTTAATAATATTTGTACCAATTCTGAATATACCTTAGCCAGTGAACATATCTGAATTAAACGTATTCCGTAAAACAACTTTCATTTTAGTAATACTAATGTCTCTTCTGAGTAATTAAATGTATCTACTCTAGTCTTATCTTTTCCTTACACAATTTTCCTTGTAGTAACATGATACTTATATCCTCATAAACAGAAACGCGTTTAAGGTTTTTTGTTGATATTGTTTTTAAATTAGGTAATAGGAAGTAAACAGACGGCGCACTGTCGCGGAATATTTGGTCTCACTGTCAACAGATCTTTGTTTTTGCCGAACTGTAAACCACAAATATCTGTTCCCACCTTAGTACTGGTATCGAGTGCCAGACAAGTACATACCTTACAGCTCGTTTATATCTGCCGAACAATGCACTACCATGAAATGTAAAGATCTCACCAAAATAGCACAATAGTTAATCTTTTGATTTTTTCTCAAAAAGTTTAAACGGTATTTGGCAACATTACGACATTTAGTCATGTAGTGACTCACAATTGAAATTCTATCGATTGGAATGTATTCGAGTTAATCGGAATAAGATAATTGACTTATTGTTCATCACAGAAAAGACAACAAAAACTATGACAGTCACGACCAAAGCGTGCCCTGGGGTGCGTCTTTCCAGTGTCCAACATTCTTATGAAACACTCATTCTCCCGGGCAACATTCCATCGGACCTTATCGGAACTCCATATCTTCCGTATCTCAATTGGCCGTAGCGATGACCAGCGGTCAAAAAGTCGTTGTGCTTTGAATACTGTACCTATATTGCACAGGTAACGATACAGGTTATTTTAATATTGTGCTTTAGTTGTTAAGATATGTTTTGAGTAACAATAGCTACCGTGAAAAATCAAGGGATCAAAGGAACCGCTAAATGTCAGGTGAGAAATTAACGAGAATCCGGGTATATATATTACACCCTGGTCTCAGCTACATGTCGCCAAACACCTTTATAGTTCTACATGCTGTAGACTGACCGATCGAGTTGAGAATAACGATTCAAATACCTTTTAAGTCCTGTATAAAAAGGTTACAACCATATTAAATTAATGGGAAGAATGATATACATGCTTTGAAATGAATGACCTTAACTTCCCATGTGATTGAAACAGGTAGTTTAAAGTTACAACAATGTGATGGTTGGTAGTGGTGTGATACTTTACAGCAAAAGCAATGAAATGAAACAGTTTTCATTGAGATCTTGTTTGGATACCAAGAATATGTAACTAAATTGATTTTCGTATGGTCTGGCAGTAAAATGATATAGGATAAAATGAATAAGCATTAGAATTCTCTCTCTCTTTCTCCCTCCCCCTTTCTCTCTCTCTTAGCGTTAGAATTCATATTTCTTTGCATATCATAGTCACCACATTTTATCGCCCTTTTGCAACGTGGCATCATTTTGCCGAGGAAATATATTTTTGAGAAAAAGAAAGTAGTTGTAGTCTGTGTATTATCTATTGTGTATATGGAATGGACATTGGTAGAGAGAGAGGGAGGGAGGGAGAGAGAGAGAGAGAGAGAGAGAGAGAGAGAGAGAGAGAGGGGGGGGGGGGGGGTGGGGTGGGGGAGGATATACCAGGTATTGGGTGGGTACACCAGGGCGTGGTAGAGCAAACCTCAGCCGGATACAAATACAAAATGTACATCAAACAAACAATATATTTCGACGCATGATTTGGAATTGTGTAATAGGTTAATATAGATACGTCAGACATGCTGCCCTCTATCCTTAACACCAAACGTGTTCGTCGAGATTTTAGAAAAATATGTTGCTGCTGAAAGATGGAAATGAAATACGGTTGGTATAGGGAACATGTAAAG